AAGACCCTGCATGTAAGTGGCCTCCCTAACGCTTCCGGCCGGCCCATATAAGGCCAGCTGGGCCTGGTGAACGCTTAATATCTCCATCCCCTATAGTTATAATTCGTGGGTTGCCATCAGATTTTATTTTGATCTTAATCTGATTTTAAGCTGTATTTTAATTGATTGCTTGACTTTATGTTTTTAACGTATTATATATTTTGATGTTAGCTGCCCTGAGCCCGGTCCTGGCCGGGGAGGGCAGGGTATAAATAATAATAATAATAATAATAATAATAATAATAATAATAATGTATTTACAAGCCCCAATTCTCTTTCAAGCTCCTCCTCCTTTCTCTTTCTTTTACCTCTTTTACCTGTTGGAAGGGCCTGAAATGGAATTTTTTGGGGGAAGGGATTTCTTTTTCCACCTTACAGGGAAGAATTAGATGCTGCTGCTGTTGCTATATATTTATTTATATGCCGCCATTTCTCCTGACAGATAAAAACTAAGAACAGCTAAGAATGTAAAGGGGGGACCAATCATTTAAAAACCATTAAACATTGATAGAATTATATTTAAAAATCTATTAAAAGCATATAAATAATTGAAACAAAATGGCGCCAGCCCCCTCATTAAAGCAGGTCCATTCCTAAAAGCCTGTTTTCACCTGCCAATGAAAGGACAAAGAGGAAGCTAGTCTAGCTTCTCCAGGAAGGGAGTTCCAGAGTTTGGGAGGAGCCACCACCAAGAAGGCCCTTTCCCGCGTCCGTACCAAGCGTGCCTGTGAGGGTGGCAGGATCGAGAGAAGGGCCTCGCCTGAAGATCTCAGAACCTGGGCAGTTTCATTTGATGGAATAAGGTATTTCAGGTCGCTTTCACCTGGCCAGGAGTCTCGCTGCAGCTCCTTGAGCCAGTTAAAGTTTCTGAGCACTTTTCAGAGGCATAGAGCGTGTTGTGGTAATCCAGTACAGTAATTGGCATTTGGGGAGTGGTCTGGATTGTTCCCTCTTTGAGCATTGAGTCTGGGCAGGTAAGAAAGCAGGAGACAAACATTAGGTGCACTGAAGAATTTCTGGGTTGAGGGCACCCTTTAGGGATCTGCCAGTGCATTGTGCCTGGTGGAGTTGCAGGGGTGTGTGTGACATGTTCATTTTGGCTGGTCAGAGGGGCGCGACTGAGCATGTTGGGTTCATCTGCACAAGGTTCATCTAGCAAAGAGGGAGTAATTTCCTCTCCATCCTTTGCTGGAGAGCCATGGGCTAGAGACAAATCCAGGGCTTTCTTTCATGCCAAACTAGAGGGAACGCAGTTCCACCATCTCTCAAGTGGGCACCAAAGCCATTCTAAGAGAACGAGGGAGGTGTTTGCAGTGAGTTCCAGTACCTCTTTTTCTAGAAAAATAGCACTGGCTCATATCCAGTGCCGGATTTACGTATAAGCTAAACAAACTATAGCTTAGGGCCCCACTCTCTTGGGCCCCCCAAAAAAATTCAAAGGAAAAAAAACCTGGATGTGCATTTCCAAAATGTAAAATAAGACAAATAAAATAAAACCTACATACAGCAACAGTGTTTTGTGTCATGTAGGCTCCTATTTTGTTATGTGCAAATGGCTTTAGATACCTATTAGGTCCATAAATTACCATATAGCATATATTCAACACAAAAAACAGCGAGAATTTGTTGTTGACAAAGGACAGCTGGACATATAAAGGGCCCCATTACCTTCAGTAGTTTAGGGCTTCATCAAACCTAAATCTGGGCCTGCTCATATCCCACATTTCAGGAGATGTGGAAGATGCTTCCCTGCCAGAATCACTTGCAGTTCCTCCAATCCGTTATATTGATAAATATAACCATTCTGCCAGTTCCATGCACCTTCTCTGCAGGCTCGTGTGGGGAGAAATGGGGTGTGTGGGGCGGCCTGCTTTCTTTTTCCTGCCTTTGCTCACGTCGTTTGAGGCAGGCTGCTAAAGCAGCAAAACACCAGATGACAGCGACAGCAATATATAAAAGAAGCAACGGCAATAAAAGTCTGTGGTAAAACAGCTTGAAACGTCATAAAACCCAGAGTTAAAACAGAGTGCTCACGTGTAATTATGGCTTCCAAAGCAGAGATGGAGGATATGTGGTCCTGCAATTCCAGTTCCATCACCCTCAGCCGGTCAGGGCAAAGTGCGGGAACATCCCAAGAGCCACGGGTTCCCCATCCCTACTCTAAAAGGGCCAAAACCCACCCTAAGTTATTCATCTTGTTTCCATTTGCAGAAGTTTCCGCTGCCCCCTTTGCATTGCTGAAGAGGCAAGCAGCTTCTAAGCTTTCTCAGTGGCTTGCCTCTACAGCACATAGTGAAAACATCTAAGAGGTTTCTGGCATTTCCAGTGGGTATTTTGCATATTGGGGTTTGTGGGGTGTTAGGAGGTGGTTAGTATCTCTGGTAGGGGAAATGTCCTGGGACAGTTTGTCCACCTGCACTCAGCTCTCACCTGTGGCTCCTAGATGTTATCAGCACACGACATTGGCCGCAGCCCAAGAAACAGCTTCAACTGGTTGGCTAAACCTGGTGAGGGGAACCGATGGGTCTCAAACCCTTGGTGAGTTAGGGACTTCCCTGCATGCGAAGAAAATCTCCGGCGGATGAGACTAGTAGTGGGTCCAATGGTCAAGAAGGCAGTTTCTGCATGTGTGGTAGAGGGAATTGAGGGGCAGATGAGGCTCATCAGCCTGGGAAGGTGGCCCATCTAGGAGTCGGAAAACTCTGGTCCTTAACCTCCACTGCCTTGTGGGATATCTTCAGCAGTAGAAAAGGCTAAGGAGCAAACCCTATGCAAATTCAGAGTCCCTAAGATGGTTGGATGGCACCTTTGGGATGAAGAGAACTATGTCTGCCACCCTGAGCAACTTGGAGGAAAGGGGGGGGTATAAATGAAATGAATAGTTTTCCCCCCTCCCCAGAGCTACAGTTCCTAGAACTCTTAGCAAACTACAGTTCCCAGAATTTGGGGGGGCGGGCGTAGTCGACAGCTTTGATTGCATAGTATGCAGCCTCAATGTGACGCAGTTCAGTATATTCTTAAAAAAGAAAAGAAAAAAGCAGACACGCTCATTGATTCATGGGTTAAATGAGAACTCTTAATTAATGACCAGTTTTTAATTCCGATAGTGTTCTCTTTAATTGAAGCGACAACTCTTTTCTTCCGGGGATTGAGGACCTTCATAAAACATTTATGATGAAGCAGCACAGAATGCGAGCAAATGGTTTAGCTGTCTATCATTATCCCTTCCCTCCACCTCCAGTTTGGCAGGACTAAGGAATTGCAGAGGAGTTAGTTGCTTAAAAGCACCTATTGTGCTAACTTAGGGTGACCTGTTTATTAAGCTTTCACCCTGATTTATTTGCAAGGGGATTAGACAATGCCGGCTATTTAATGGGCATTCCTTCAAATTTGTTTGCAGTGAACATCTTTCAGGGGAGCAGCGTTTTGTTGTGCAAGACCTCCCGGTCTACTATAACTGCACAACCTGAATTTACCCATCTGAAAATTGTCTGGTTTTCATCCCTACCCCCACTGATAAGAACGTGGAAAGGGATGTTTTAGGATGTGGTAGATATGGAATTAATTGGAGCTGATGGGTGGGTTGCAAGCTTTACAACAGATCCTATTAGCTCCAGTGCACTTATATTTACTAGGGCTGTTTTGGTTCTGGTGAACTTCTCATGAAACATCTTCTTTTCTTTTCTTTTTTTAATAATGTTTTTATTTATTTTCATGGTACAGTAGCTAAGAGGACAATGAAGAAATATTAAGGATATTTAAGAAAGAGGAGTGGTAACTTTTATGTATTAAATTGTAAGTTTTTGGCCTTTTCTTTCTGTCCCTTGAAAAGGTAGTTGTGTCAAACTTTTGGCAATGTGCAAATTAATGATAATTGAACCATTAATTAATTAGGGGAAAGGAAGTTGATTAATCAGCTATAAGCTCTTCAATCAGCGGACAGCTCTCCACTTGTGTCTCCATACAAAATTCCTCATTCAAATTCACATTCTCTTAATTATAAGGTTGTTTTGGGGCGTTCCCTGTGAAGAATGATGACAGAGCTTCAGATTTTGTGTGTGTGGTTGAGAGGGGAGAGTTTAGCTTGGCAAAAACTCCCACACCTGTTCTCAAGACTGAAGTTGCTTCTAAGGCATCCTTTGAAGATAAATGTCAAAAAGGATCATCTGGAACTGTTTGTGAATTTGGACTAATACGTTCTGAAAAATCTGTCAATATCTGAAACGGTGCCCAGTTGCATTTTAGCTGGAATGGCCTCTAAATGGTTTAGATTTAGGGAGCTGTTTCAGATCATAGCATCCACGTGGCACATCCATGCACACAGGCTTCAGCGCAGTCAGCTCAGCCTCCCCCAACCAGAGGCTGATTGGAGTTGTGGTCCAAAACATCTGGGGAGCTCCAGGTTGGAGAACGCTGGGTCAGTGGAAGACATTACATACCTCCATGCCCTGGGCGGCTTCCAACCCATCTCCTTCGAGGCAGCAGTGCCCAGCCAGGTGTGAACACAGCTGTTGCGTATTTACATGCCAATAATGGATTGAGAGGGACACGGGTGGCGCTGTGGTCTAAACCACAGAGCCTAGGGCTTGCCGATCAGAAGGTTGGCGGTTCGAATCCCCGCGACGGGGTGAGCTCCCGTTGCTCGGTCCCTGCTCCTGCCAACCTAGCAGTTCGAAAGCACGTCAAAGTGCAAGTAGGTAAATAGGTACCACTCCGGCGGGAAGGTAAACAGTGTTTCTGTGCGCTCCTCTGGTTCTCCAGAAGTGGCTTAGTCATGCTGGCCACATGACCCAGAAGCTGTACACCGGCTCCCTTGGCCAATAAAGCGAGATGAGCGCCGCAATCCCAGAGTCAGCCACGACTGGACCTAAATGGTCAGGGGTCCCCTTTATCTTAATGGATTGAGAAATCAGATAAATGTCTTTGCCATGCCACCTTTTTAAAGCAGATAACAACAACTGGATAGCTCAGTTGGTTAGAATGTGGTGCTGATAATGTTGCGGTTGCAGGTTCAATCCCTGTATGAGGATGCGTATTCTTGCATAGCAGTGGGTTCGACTAGTTGAACCTCGGGGTCCCTTCCAAATCTATAGTTCACAATCGCAGTTCCATGGGGAGGTGCCTGAAGAACAATGACGGCAACATGATGTTCCGTTGAAGAGGAGTCTTGGGGCTGGGCAGACAGAACATCATCAGGGTAAGTGGGTGCGATGTGACTGGAAAAGTGAGTCTTTAGCAAGGTGTGCTGGGAAGAAGAAGGGAGAGAACTCCATCTTGGGCAGGCTGGCTGAAGTCTGGCAGGGAAAGATGCCTTGGGACTCAGCTCTACAGCTGCAACTATAATGTTGTAAGTGCGTTATACAAATGTGACGCTAGATGGTGATTGTGAGCTTATGGCAAATTCAATATATATTTTAAAAATGCTTAAAAAAAACCATTTTCACAGTTGTTGTTTTTTAAATATGTGCCTAGATTCCACCTTGGTCTCAAGTGCTGTACTGCTGTGGGGAACAGGTCCCTCTTGAGATGACCGTGCTGCAAGCTCTGGACTCCCGCCATGCTGATGGAAGGCACAAATAGGTGAGTAAACCACATTTCTTAAAGCTACAACAGTCTCCGCCATGTCTCAATTCTCCAAAGGACCATAGACCTTGCGTAAGTGCCACTGCTCGACATCCAACTTTTGTAACCACACACACACACACACACACACACACACACACACACAAAGCAGCATTCTTTACTGACTGAAATCAGGGAATGTATTAGCTTTCTAATCTTGCAACTTTTATATCCAGATTGCAGTCACATTGTTATTTGAGCCGGTCAACAGACTTGTGGAATGGATGGGTTCTGAGTGTGAATTTCACGTATTCCGATCTCCGTGGAAATGTGGGCCTTGGGATGCTGCCATGACCCTTCAGCCTTCAGGTTTGCAAACTGGTGCTCCACTCTGTCTCTTTACTGCCTGCCCGTACCCAAATATTACCTGCGAAAAGAATGCTCACCTGGAAAGTTAGGAGAAAGGTGGCCCAGAGAGACCTCTGGCTCAGTGTTGGCGCCCTGGCTGTGAAAATGGTAAAGGGTGCCACCGTGGGTTGAGCAAGGAGATGGGAAATGTGCACTGCAGAGTCTGTATATCCATTTGGCGCATCTTTCGGAGTTGGATAGAGCAGATTTGGGGCAGATGTGGCTCATCGTGTCATGGGACTGCCCTTCAGGAGAGTTGCTAGTTACTTAGAAGACTCAGGCCCATGATGCAAATTTGCCTTTGGTGGGCAGCTGGAGTCTCACTGGCAGTGCATTTTGCAGCCGGCTCCTTGAACCAAAGAGTTAAAGAAGACGGGGGAAGGCAGGAGGTCCAGGTCTCTGTGCAAAAGACTCGAGGTTTGCATCCCATAAGAAAAGCAGCATCAGCTGAAAAACAGGGCACCTGCAATGGCAGAAAACATGACTTGCATGCAAAAGTTCTCAGGTTCAATCCTGGCATTGCCAGGATGCCAGGACTCTGCACACATTCCAGGCTGCCGCTTTAAGTTCCTGCCCCCATCTAGGTGTTCCCCAGAAGCACTCCCCACCCCCATATGACCACTTCCCAATTACTTTGGTCATTCCAGCCTGCTTTGAGTCCCTGCCTGTTTTCAGCCCAGCCAGCAGGTCCTCATTCCACTCAGTGTAGGCCAGAAACGTCTCCCCTAAAGCAATTATCCTTTGGGCAAGCCTTTTGGAGCCATCCTGCGAAGGCAGTGCAATGACACAGTTCCTGGAGCGAGATACTCCCCGGGAGGAGCAAAGGACTTCCTGAGCGCTCGCTTCCCGGATATGTGTGGGGGGGGGTGCAGCGTTGCCGCGGCAACCCGAGTCCGGGTTCCTCATTAGCAACGTTTGGGCCTGGCGCCGAATGAAAGGGAAGATTCCTTTTCTAGTGCCACCTTGCTGGAGAAAGCTGTTGAGAGCGTTCTTGTGAGATGCTTTCAGATGCTTCATCAGACAAGGCGTCCTGTTCACCTGCAATCTGCTGTGCCACCAAAGAAAAAGGAAATCATTTCGTGGAGCTGTCGGGAGGAATCCGGCGAAAAGAACTAGAGATATTACTTATGCATTAGCATTACACGGCCCTGAGCCCAGGGATTTTCGTTTATTTATTTATATTTTTGTGCTGCACCTTCTTTTCCCTGGGCCCCTATTATATCCTCCGGCATTGTCGGAATCCGTTGCCACCGACCCCACCGTGAGCAGCTTTCGTTTTTCCAAGGCAACTTTCTTGGCAGCCCAGGAGCCTCTGAGGGTGTGAAACCGAATTCGGCATTAGTAAGATTACTGAGAGAACGAGATGGTGTAACTTTAGAGCGAGGAGCAATACATCTCAGTCACACCCCTCTCTGCCTGCTCCCTTGAAATGTGAGGGATTGCTTTTGGTGCACAATAATAACAAAGAAACAGGCTAGTGGCCTAGGGGGACTAGACTAGTCCCCTAAATGTTCCTGAAAATTGGAGTATTGAAATATTGTTCATCTTCAAGACATATATCATCACTGTGTGTGCGTGTGTGTGTAAAGGAGGAGGCAGAACAGGACAGAGGAGAAGGCGTGGTAACAGGGTTGGGCTATGTGTAAGGAGAAGTTGAGGAAAGGAAGGAGGGTGGAAGGGGAAAGTGGGGTAAAGATGGAAATGAGGGTGCCAAGGAGGTACAGAAAGGAGAGAGAGAAGGGGGCATATCTGAGTGGAAGGTAAAAGGGGTGCTTAGTGTCAGGAGTTCAGCCTACACTTGGGTAGGACTCTGGCAGAGACACATGCCCGGCTGGCATGTTCCCTCCCTCCTGGTCGATCGTTCGGGAGCTTCAAAAGCTTTCTTTAGCCCGAACATCACAGCCAACAGACATCGGCACACTTAGGGATCCGCAGAGTCTTTGCAGCTTGCGTAACAGACCTCAACAACTCAGCATTTTGGCTAATCTCCTTTATTTACATATAAACACACACAGAGCACTGCCACATGGCTCTCTCTCTCTCTAGCACCAGACAGCAAAGAGAAAAAGAACACAGGACAATAGTCCCACTTCACGGAACACAGTAACACAAACATCCTGTCTCCGTCACTTCCCACTGTCAAAACAGGAGTCAAAACATACACTGTCTTGTGAAAGACAACAATCCTATGACTGCAATCACGGAGCCAGGAATTCTAACACTTAGTACAGTGTTACCTCGAGTTACAAACACCTTGGGTTACAAACACTTCGGGTTACACACTCCACTAACCCAGAAGTAGTACCTCGGATTAAGAACTTTACCTCAGGATGAGAACAGAAATCGCAGCGTGGCGGCACGGCAGCAGCAGGAGGCCCCATTAGCTAAAGTGGTACCTCAGGTTAAGAACGGTTTCAGGTTAAGAACGGACCTCTGGAATGAATTAAGTTTGTAACCAGAGGAACCACTGTAGTTGCAATGTGTAAAGAAGAGGAAGATGCAGGCGGTTACCATGGTCTGTGTGCGAGGAGGGAATTGCACAAAAGGAACTTTGCAGCATTGGACTGCTGCTTGCACTGAACACCTGGACTTGCACTGAGTTGCTCATGCATGGTCTTTTGATTTTTTAAAATAAAAAACCCAATTAATCACGAGTCATGCTGTGTTAAATTTATGCTGTGTTATATCTATATTGAGCCTTAGTGAGGTCACTTTGGCACTGCTAACGCAGCAGTTTGCCTTCACCCCCGGAGACGCACTCCATTGTCTCTTGAGACAGATGGATGACGACAACAACAACAACGTATTTATAAGTATTGAAACAGAAGCATTTTAAAACTGTTCTAGGCAGTGCTGTATGTATCTGTTTTTATGTGCTGTTTGCTTTGGGAATCACGGAGTGAATATGCATCCAATACAATATATATATTGATGCATTTTTATAATGCATATAGTATTTGAGAACTGGAGGCATTTTTACCAGAACTGGGGGGGGGGGGGGGAATCTACTTGCTTTTCATCGAGATCAAGGAGTGAGATGGAATTAGAAAAAAATCCGTGATTTCAGAAAATTTCAGAATTTTCAGAAAATGCCATCCCTATATCCATGTTGCTGGCCCTCGTTTCGCATTGTGGTGTTACAATGAATGGTGAATAATGGCAAACTGCTTTAAGTTTTATAGGTAAATGAAACATTCATATTCAGAGGCATTTTACCTCTGCATACAGGATTTGGGAGACAAATGATGGGGAGGGCTTTGGGGACTTGCTCGAGGCTTCCTGGAGGCACTTGGCTGGAACAAGATCCTGGACTCAGTGATCTCTTGTCTGATCTCCTTGTGCCCTTAGATCCGTTCAGAGTCTTTCTGTGCCTTTGACATTGTTAAGCAAAGGGATTCTACCAGTCAAGCATAAAGCAGAGGCTGTTGTATCATCCTATAAAACGGGGGGGGGGGGGGGAGTTATCAGGAACAGATGGAAATCCTATGGTTTTTTATTTTTTAGTGCGAGCCATAAAAGGACATCTGGAAGCAGATGGCAGACAATCTACCAGCCTTTGCCCAAACAGCGAAACATCCCGGGTTCCCTCGCTTTGTGCCCCAAGCTTTCTGCCATAAAACTGAGTGGTGATAAAGCTTCGGATGCGATCAAGGTTGGCAGGACATGGAAGCTGCCGATTCTGCAGACAAGGGCTGGTTGGCAGGGTACCCGCTGCCATAGATTAATGAAGGCTGGGGGTGAGAACTGGAAGCAGATTTCAAGGCTGCAGAGCACCCCGACGCAAATGGTTTTCAACACAACCGAAGCCAGCGTCCTACCCTCAGTCCTGCTTGCACCCACTTAAGCAGCGCCCCCAAAGACAAAGGGCACAGATTTGTGCACAATTTGCGTACACTTGTTTATTTCTACAGATGCATATTGAGAAATACAGGCAGCTTCCAATTTACGTGGGGGTTCCCTTCCAAGGCACCTGCATTTATGTGAAATTGCGTATATTTGAAAAAGCCTGAAACACCTGTCTCTGCCCTGCCCTGCCCATTTTTGAGACATTTCTGTGATGTTTTTGGGTCACTTCCAGGTCCAGTGCAATGCATGCGGTCACACAGTCACACACATATCGGATGCACCTAAAACAGTTGCTGCCTGTAGTTACTCTAATTAAAATAGAAATGTGACACATCTCTCCATAGTGGGGACGATTGTGACCAGGTGGTCTGCTGATCTGTTGTTCAGGAACTAACTATTGGTGGGCAACTTAATGTCCTCGCTCTCCATTCTTAGGGTTCTCCAACTTTAAACTAGATTTGGACCGGAAAGCCCTTCCAAGAGATGGTATCTTCAAATAGAGGACTGTCCTCAGAGAAGTAGGGCACATGCCACCCTGACTCATGAAATTTATTACGGTCAGGAGGAGGAGGAGACCATCAGCGTCTCCTGTTTGTGGAGAGGGTGCTGTAGAGGCAACGGTGGCAGGCTTCTGAGGAGGTGGCAGATCCATTCTCCAAGGAGGGGGCGGTGACGGCAGCAGGTGATGCATCCCTTGGAGGCTGGATCTGCTGCCCCTCTGAATCCTGCTGCCCGAGGTGGTCACCTCACATTGCCCCATGGGTGGGCCGGCCCTGACCTGCAATCAGTTTCCACCTGTTCCCAAGCACATAAGAAGAGCTCTGCTGACTCAGACCAGAGGTGCATCTGGTCTAGCGTTTTGTTGTCACAGTGGGATGCCCTCCGGAAGCCCCAAAGCAGGACCTGGGTGCAACACAACACTCTGCCCTCCTGCAACTGTCAGCAATTGGCATATTGCCTCCGACAGTGAATGCAGAATATAGCCATTGTGGCTAATAGTTGTTTTTCTGTATAAATTTGTCTAATCCTCTTTTAAAGCCATCCAAGTTGGTGGCCATCCCTGCCTCCAGTGGCAGTGAGTTCCATAGTACGCGCTGTGTGAAGAAGTCCTTTCTTTTGCCGGTCCTGATTCAGCTTCACTGGATGTCCACAAGTTCTAGAGGGAGCGGAAAACTTCTTCTCCACTGGAGAAACTTCTCCCGAGCCACTTCCCCTGCACAATGCATAATTTTATATACTTCTCTCTTATTGCCTCTTACTTGCCTTTTCTCTAAACTAAAACGCTCCATATTCCTTGCCTTGGTATAGTTCTGTCCTGCTGGGTGTGACCCTCAGTCAGTCTCTCTCTTTTTTTTATCATGATTTTTATTGAGTTTTCCATATTTCATTTCATTATACATATCCAAAGCTTACATTACTACTCAAAAAGAGCATCGACCTCCTTCCCTCCCTCTTTTCTGACTTTCCTATAACTTTAACATATTTATCACATTTCTATAATCACTTCTTTATCTTATATGATCATTTAAAAATCACCCTCTCATTTGTAAATTAGCTCCTTGACCCTCAGTCAAGTCTCTCAGTGTGTTAGTAGTTTTTGCTTGATTTCGGGTCAGCTGTGATTTACACATTTTCAAGCCTGGCTGCTGCCGGCGGCAGGCAGTGTCTCTCTGTTTGTGGTTGTGGTGCTTGTGCCTGTGTGCAGGCATGCATGTCTGGTTGTGGTAATGGTGTTGTGCCCACAACAGATTTTCTGGCTTGCAAATGTGCCCACAAGCCTCCAGAGGCTGGTGACCCCGCCTTACTTGGCATTACTTATCTTGTAATGCTTTCACCAGGCTCGCATTCACAGCCGAGGCAGTTAAAGAGCCGCAGTGTGTGTGTCTGTGTGTGTGTGTGTGTGTGTGTGTGTGCATGCCACCCATTAGGATGCATGGTTGGAATTTGAACCCACATCCGACGAGTATGGAGCTATGGTTTTCCTGGATCAGTTAACACAGAGGTGACATGCCGTCTGCTTTTATGACGCTGTTGACTTGGGAGAATGTTTGTTAATTGAGATGTTCCACTGTCATCTCTCTGCCCCGTCAAAGTTGGTGACAAATGAGTTCATCACGGGGAGGGATGAGAAGCTATCATGGAGCTATTGGACAATCATTAATATTGACTCTGGAAAGGAAAGGGATGTGGCGTGCGGCCGTGAGGGAGATCCATTGCTAGTAAATCTTTTGGGGGAGCTTGCTGAAGCAACGGTTCCCTGCTGGCAATAAGGAGAGCTTCCTTGGGGACGCCTACCTGATGACCGTGAGGAGGTCCTTGGCCAAACTGCCTTGCCGCAATGGCCTTTTACAAAACTACTTTGCAAGGCATTGCATTGCGATGGTGCTGCCCGTGGGGAAAACCTTCCATGGGGGGAAGACTAGAAAATCATTCAAAATTAATCATTAATTCAGATGCAATAACATCCGAGGTTGGTGGTATTATTATTATTATTATTATTATTACAATGCATTTATTTAATTATCTGGGGTGCACAAAGTGCTATGTAGGGAAATATTTGCGGAACTAGGCTTGCCAAATTTCAAAAGGTAAAATTGCTGACACCTGACACCCGTAAAGTTGTTGAGCTTTCTGGGGGGACAAACCCCAAATAGCGATTTTAAGCTTTTGAAGCTATTTCTGCTGCTTTTTCCATTGTGTTGCCATACACTTGGGTTTTCCCTGACTTTTTGCCGGTTCAGCAAAATTCCCCAATGCCATTTTTGCACACGGAAACCAGAACATGTCAGGAATTTTATTGACGTGTGGCAAGCCCTGTGCTGAGCAGAGAAACCTTTTGCTCTCAGAATATGCCCAGGCCAAATGCAACCAACCGGAGCTGGTTTTTATATTTTGTGAACCACTCAGAAGTCTATCTTGGCGTTAAGTACATAGAAATATAGCATTTGCAAGTTATTATTCTTTCTGTTGTTAAGGCATTTTGTATTAAGGAAAGCGGGCTTTTATATGGCATGCACGTTTCAGCTTCTGTAAGTTTTGATGCTAGAAGTCAAATACATTTAATTAATTAAGAAGAAGAAGAAGAAAGAAAACCTTTGCCTACTCCTCTATGACTGCCAAGTTCTCAGTTCTTCCTTGTATTGGCTGAAGAACACCTTCCAACACAATCTTGATTAGACAAGCTTAACAGGAGTCCCTTGACAGATCTTGGGGGTGGGGTGGGGAGTATCTCTTAGTTATTTCCTAGATCCTGAATTAGATGGAGCCCACAGTTGCTTGGGGCAGTGTGCAACCCAGGGAAGATGTAGGTGGCTGCATTGTGGAGAACAAAGGACACTTGGAAACAAGTCAGTTTTGGGGACTCCTGTCCAAGCACAACACCATGCCTGCAGTGTGGAATAATAATAATAATAATAATAATAATAATAATAAATTATTTATACCCCGCCCATCTGGCTGAGTTTCCCCAGCCACTCTGGGCAGCTCCCAATCAAGTATTACAATACAGCATTAAATATTAAAAACTTTCCCTAAACAGGGCTGCCTTCAGATGTCTTTTAAAAATAGGATAGCTGCTTATTTCCTTGACATCTTATGGGAGGGCGTTCCACAGGGCGGGCGCCACTACTGAGAAGGCCCTCTGTCTGGTTCCCTGTAACCTCACTTCTCGCTATGAGGGAACCACCAGAAGGCCCTCAGCGCTGGATCTCAGTGTCCAGGCTGAACAATGGGGGTGGAGACGCTCCTTCAGGTATACAGGACCGAGGCCGTTTAGGGCTTTAAAGGTCAGCACCAACAATTTGAATTGTGCTCGGAAAAGTACTGAGAGCCAATGCAGATATCTCAGAACTGGTGTTATGTGGTCCCGGCGGCCACTCCCAGTCACCAGTCTAGCTGCCGTATTCTGGATTAAGTGCAGTTTCTGGGTCACCTTCAAAGGTGCCCCACACAGAGTGCATTGCAGTAGTCCAAGCAGGACGAAATCTTCCCTTTCCAATTTTCGTTGCTTTTCTCCAGGACTGAAGTGTTTTCTTCCTTACCCTTTTAAATGCTGTGTAAAACCCTGATTTCCAAAAGAAACCCATTTCTGCTTTTACCCTGCAATAGTCTACATTCACTTTTCCACTGCCTCTGCCTACGCAGGCTGGTTTTAGGCCACGCTTACGAGGCTTGATCCTGAGATAACATTGTGGTTCCTTTCATAAGCAGATTGGGAAGCCTTCTACTGGGGTAGTCCACTGGGGTTTTGTGGTGACTTTTTAAAAACAAAAACCCCAACCTTCTTAAAAACAAAACCTTTGGGGTTAGAGAAACAGACGCTAAAGAAACAAGGCTACATGCCTCCAAGCCTACTGCAAATTCAGATTGCCGAGGCCCCCACAAAATAGCTTCCTTAGATATTCTCAGCCATGAGCGGGGGAATGTGAGGCATGAGATGTTGGAGCGTGGCCACAGCTCAGTGGTGAAGCACCTGCTTTTCATGCAGAACTCTCCACATTCTCCCTGAGAGTGTCACTTGTTTGAAGGATTGAGTGACAGGTGATGCAAATGGACTCTGCGCTGATTTGAAATGAAGCAGTTTGACTACCCCAAAACAGTTGCAGGGAAGGTCAGTTCCCTTGCAGATGACTGCAGTGCCTGGAGACAAACAGATAGGTCATATGTCCACAGCACTAATCAGAGGAGGAATGACCGCTGGGAGGAGCGCAGAGAGAATAAATGCTATGGTGCATCTGCAGCAGCAAAACCGGAAGCCTTCATGTGCCCCAACTGCAACAAAACATGCCTCTCCTGTATTGGTCTCTACAGCCACAGCAGGCACTGTAACTCTCCAAGCGTTTGACTTCATCCACACTTCATCCACTGTCTCCCGAGCCAGACAGATTCCACCAACAACATATACCTGAAGGAGCGTCTTCACCCCATCATTCAGCTGGACACAGAGGTCCACTTCTGAGGGTCTTCTGGAAGTACCTTCACTGAGGGAAGTGAAGTTACAGGGAACCAGGCAGAGGGCCTTCTCGACAGTGGTGCCCTCCCTGTGGCATGCCCTCCCACCAAATGTCAAGGAGATAAAGAACTACACAACTTATAGAAGACATCTGAAGGCATCCTTGTATCAGGAAGTTTTTAATGTTTGACATTTTATTATCTTTTGCATTTTGCTGGAAGCCACCCTGTGTGGCTGGGGAAACACAGCCAGATGTGGGGGGTATATCATCATCATCATCATCATCATCAACATTGAATTATAGAGTTGGGACCCCATGGATCATCTAGCCTTTGTTAAGAATAGTATTTATATGGAGAAGCACGTGACTGTAAATATTATGTTTTAATTCATCTATAACTATAAGTTTCTGTAAGCAAAGTTTTTGAATGTTAAAGTCTGGACGTTGGTTTAATTTCCAAAGAAGGGTGTCAGTCACATATATGATTTGAGCTTCTTAGCTGAGTTTTCCCTACCCTTACTTCAAAAATCCAACCGCCTGCAATGCAGGATGTGCCAATACGGGGATCAAACCCATGACTTTGGTGTTACCAGCACCACACTGTGACCAACTGAGCTGACTGGCAAGGCTAACAAAGTTTGCAGTGAGGTGGCATCACAACAACATTTGCTTTCAATAACTGCATTCAAAAACGTTTGCACTGTTTTTAATGTGAGTTTTACATTTGACTTCCTTTGGTGACGTTTTCCTTTGAAATGTTCAAGATAATATTTTGGGTTAACTTTGCTGCGTTCAGCTTGCATTCTGCAGTTGACCTCCTTTGTAATGTTTTGTTTTGAAATCTTTAAGATAACTTCTTAGTTTTCTGGTAATTACTTTGCTTTGGCTGCATATACTTTATATACTTCGACTTTCTTGAGCCTTGTCTTTGACATTTCACTGTGTCGTAAACCACTTTGAGAAGATAAATATAAATGTATAGAAATTAAATTATTATTTATTAATAATAAATAGCGGCCTGGACACAGGGGTTGGTGTTTTGATAGGGTTGCCATGTGTCTGGAATTTCCGGAATACTGCAGTTGGAAGCAGTGTCTGGGTGGAAATCGCTAAAATGTCCGGGAAAATCTGGGCATATGGCAACCCATGTCAGCAGTGTTGTATTTGGCGATTTTCCTTTAAAAAATGCTCAAAAACTTCAACTTCTTCTCCTCCTCCTCCTCCTCCTCCTCCTTCTCCTCCTCCTTCTTTTTGGCAAATTTGTCAAACAAGCTCAACAACTTTTCTGTCCAGATTTTCACTGTTTGAAATACGACAATCGAGGGGGAAGACTCTTGTTTACTGCCATCACGTCAGTTGCCAACCACAGTGTGCTGTTGTGTGTAGAAAGTGCAAAATGGCAGCACTATTTCTTGAAAGTTGCCTCTCTCCTTCCATTGCCCTTGGAAGCCCCTCCCGATGGAAAATCTTACTGCTTGCTGTGTTGAGGAGCACCGATTCAGAGACGAAATCGTAATTAATTTTTAACACCATCTCAGCAGATTTTGGTCTCTTGATAACTAAGTAAGTGTAACCTTTGGCTAGTCTGCCCCTTGGATGGTTTCCCGGGTCCCATGCTAATTTTAAGATGATTCATCAGGCTTCCATGGAGAGCTGTTTAGTTCCCTGCATTAAACAGTTGCCTCTCATTCTAAAGACGCCATCTCCCCTTTCTCACGTCTCAGCAATAAGCATCTGTTGAGGCTCGTCAACCTGAAAGATTTCAAACAAACTCCGTGCACCGTTCTCCCATGTTGAGGAGGCGACGTCTACATTGCAATGCACTATTTCAGGATTTTGATGAGGTGAAGAATCGGGGAGCGACTGGCAAGTTGCTAGGAGACGTCCTGGAATATTCATGAACATCCCAGTGGCTGGGAGAACGAAGCCGCCAGCAATGGAATGTCTGCAAACAGTCCAAATTCTGTGAGATAAGATCAGTTTGGCATTGGAAACAGCTCCCTTTCCACAGAGAGAGAGAGAAAGAAAGAGAAAGTGGAGATTTTGATTCCATTCGCGTTTGAAGCCGAACGGATCAGATTTACACTTTGCAAAACGATGAGAGAAATGAAACACCTTCACCCTTCAAAATCCACAGTCATCCAAACGTTGCGATGCAGTTCTCGTACCAAACAAACTGGCACATATTAGGGCGAAATGTGCATGGAAATGAATATGGTGAAAACAACATACTGAAGTATTATATTATGAGAAATCACTTGCAAAAATTAATCAAAACTGCATACATTTTAAATTAAAATTTATGAAGAGAGGAGGGTGGAGAATTTAAACTAAAAGAGTTTAAGGATTTACCAGGAATGTTAACAACATGGTTACAAAATCATCATTTGAATGAAATGTTTAAAAAAGATATGAAGTGGGGGTTTGGGGAACAACTATTCACAATGAGAGAGAGACCTGTTAAATTGTAATGTTAAAGTGATGTCTAAAATGTACAAGGTGTTATTGGAACAGGGGACAAAGGATGAACAAGTGAAATCTTCAGTGATGCACTGGGCAAAAGATGTTGATCATAATATAGAAATGGAAGCATGGGAACCATTATGGAATATGGATATAAAATTTTCAGCATGTTACGGTTTAAGAGAAAATTATATAAAAATGGTGTATAGGTGGTACCTAGCACCTAGTAGATTGGCAAAGATGTATAACTTAAAGTTGAATAAGTGTTGGAAATGTAAAGAGAAATAAGGTTTTCACATGTGGTGGTCCTGTAATAAGTTGGGAAATGATATATAATGAATTGGAAAAGATATTTATGATAACATTCACAATAAACCCGGAAGCTTTTCTCTTGGGAGTTATAAGATTAGAACTACCCAAACAGTATAGAAATGTATTCATGTATGCGACTACAGTTGCAAGAATGTTATTTGCCCCAAAGCGGAAGGATGAAGATGTCCCGATGAAAGAAGATTGGATACAGAAACTAATGGAGTATGCAGAAACGGCAAAACTTAACGGAAGAATAAGAAATCAAGAAAACAAACTTTTTAGAAAGGAATGGAAGTGGTTTATTGAGTATTTACAAAAAAACTGTAAACAGATCAAGACATTGGCAGGATTATTGTAAAAACCTGCAGATATATATATATATATATATATATATATATATATATATATATATGAATAGACAATTAAAAGAATAAGTTAAGGCAATTTGGAACATGCATAAAAGACGAAAATAAATGTAAGGAACCGTAGAAAGAGGGGGAAGGGAGTTGAAATTGAAAATGCTAAAACTTGGTTAAATAATTGTTGCAATGTATATAAATGGAATACACACACACACACACTATATGTATATGTATATGTATATGTATATGTATATATATATCATACAAAATGCAGAGGCAGTTTTAGGGTAGTATTACCAGAGTTCACAACTGCAAAATGCAAAATTCATGCTAAAGAATTTTCACAAGGAAATTTATTTCCCTTTAAAGGCCATGTCTGGCTACAGAATGGTGGAGAACTGAATTTGGAAGAATGAGGAAATGAGTGGACTGTAATTGACACATCTTTCCACCTGAGAGAAGGAAGTGGCTGAAATGCCTGGAAAGGTTGAATGTCTAGGATAGCTCAGTTGGTAGCACATGGAGACTCTTAATCTCAGGGCTGTGGGTTCGAGCCCCACGTTGGGCAAAAGATCCCTGCATGGTGGGAGGTTGGAATAGTTGATCCTTAGGGTCCCTTCCCACTCTGCATTTCTATGATGTCTATGGGGTACCAGGAGTAGAACCCAAACAGGGACACTAGAAGAAGGGAGTTTAAGGCAAGTGGACAGAATTGACTGAGAAAGAGGAATGCTCTTCCTTTCCTCAATACAATATACATCACCTGTCCTTGCTTTCCCTAGACAGCTCTGCCCTCTTGAAAGGTCCCCATAATGATGGAGGGCCAAAGTATTGGAGTCTCATCTTCAGGATCTGTCCTTCCAGTGAGCACTCAGGGCTGATTTCCTTAAGAATGGATAGGTTTGATCTTCTTGCAGTCCATGGGACTCTCAAGAGTCTCCTCCAGCACCATCATTCAAAAGCATCAATTCTTCGGTGATCAGCCTTCCTTATGGTCCAGCTCTCACTTCCATACATCACTACTGGGAAAACCATAGCTTTAACTATATGGATCTTTGTTGGCAAGGCTAAACAACAAGAACAACAAATGATGGAGGGAGATGGGCAAGGGGGCCTCCTTCCAGCTGACTTTTAGGAGGCAGCGATGTGATGCCTTTACCCCCATCAAAAGCAGGCCCTGATTTTCTGAAACCACCTCTCTGCTGCTGGACTTGGCAATGCATCAACGGGATGGTCAAGCTTGCTGGAGATGACAGCTATTGAACTGGTGCTGTCAGCAGAATCACCATGAAGCGTATCTTTACGGTTTGTCGCAGGACAGGGACCTGCAGAACATCATTAAGTTGCTTTTTCAAGCATGGCTCTTCATTGCTGCAATTATGTTTAGGAGTTACACACACACACCCTCTCCAGGCAATTTCTCTTTGCACCATCTCAGTTGCAAGGGGAATCACCCGTACCGCTGCGAATGCCCATTGTTGGAAACTCAGGAGGGAGAAAAGTGCTCTTGCGCTCGGATTCTGCTTGAGGGCCTCCCACTGGCATCTGTCTGGCTACTGTAAGAGCAGGATGAAGGACTAGAAGAGCCCTTGGCCTGATCCAGTAGGCTTATTTTGTAATCTGAAGCATCTGGAGGGCACCAGGTTGTAGAAGGCGACATTATTGTCGCCCACTCTGCGGTCTGCTGCAAACAACCGTCGCTAATTCTGTTAACGTTGCGCAAAAGGCGAGAGTTAAAATTGCAAAACCCGAAACCGCTCCTGAGCCAGTTGGGTCTTTAAAACTGTATTGCTAGCAACCCGAAAAAACAAACAGTTTTGTGACTGTCATTGTCTTGTCCCGTATAAATGTGCACCAGCCATGTCTCTCTTTTGACATATTAGAATGGAAGCGATGCAGAGAAGTCACCTTGTGCCAGCAGTGTACTAGGGGGAGCTGTACAGAACAGAGAAGTAGTAGCCTTTCCCAGATGGCCAACTCAAGATGAAGGCAAATGTCACATTTTAAGGGTGGACCTCTGATCTCCTGGAAATGTATGTGGCTTTTAGTGTCCCGGAGAACATTCTGAAACACCAGTTTTGCAACTTCCAAGATGTCAGGAAAAATCTGGCTGCGGTTGAGCCCATATTTATATTTTTGTGTGTCTGTGTGGTAAAGTTATGAATGAATGTTTATGTGCATTAGGGATGCGGGTGGCGCTGTGGGTTAAACCACAGAGCCTAGGGCTTGCCGATCAGAAGGTCGGTGGTTTGAATCCCCACGTTGCTTGGTCCCAGCTCCTGCCAACCTAGCAGTTCGAAAGCACGTCAAAGTACAAGTAGATAAATAGGTACCGCTCTGGCGGGAAGGTAAACAGCGTTTCCGTGCGCTGCTCTGGTTCGCCAGAAGCAGCTTGGTCATGCTGGCCACATGACCCGGAAGCTGTACGCTGGCTCCCTCAGCCAATAAAGCGAGATGAGCACCGCAACCACAGATTCGTCTGCGACTGGACCTAACAGTCAGGGGTCCCTTTACCTTTACCTGTTTATATTTTTTTAAAAAATAATATTTATTACTTTTACAACAATTTAAACACTTACAAAAAAAAAAACAAGGAAAAAACCAATACATTATAATACAAAAACACTACATAAAATTAACAAAACAAAACAAAAACACTTTAAAAACACATCAGAAGAAAGAAGAAGAAAAAAAAGAAAAAAGAAAAAACTTCCGGTATCTTATCTTTCTTTCCCATATTTCCACGGCCTCCTCACACCTCCCTTTTTGTATTCCACTTCTATTAATTATTTCAGCAATTCCTTACCATCTTCCCCTGTTTTCTATCCTATAATTATCTTAACATCTTTTAACCTTATTTTCCTTTAATACTCTATTAATCCATTGACGGAAGCCAGCCGTCACAAATGGCGCAGTTTAGCATAAAATAACGACACAGAGAGCCAGCAATATTTTCAGGATGGTATGAGCAGCTCCTTTCGAACTTCTCTCCTCTCCGGTCTCTTTGTTCTCTCCTGTCGCATGGCTGTTTGCCAATGTCTCACGTTACCTACATCCGGTCATGGCTTTAACCCACCCATCGCCATATAAGGTTATGCACTTAATACACTGCAAGGCACGGACATGCAGGTCACCGAGGTCAGCGAGGCACCAGGTGGCGCTACAAGTCTTTGCCATGACTTCATGGCTCCCACAATCCATTTATACTTAATTCCTTATAACATTTCTACTGAAGCCATATAATTTCATTCCAACATTCTTCTAACATTCATTAATTTTACAATATTTCTATAAATAGTTTTTAAACTTTTCCCAGTCTTCTTCCACCGACTCTTCTCCCTTGTCTCGGATCTTGCCAGTCTTTCCCGCCAATTCCATCTAGTCCATCAACTTCATCTGCCATTATCCAACACTTCAGTGCTTTCAAGAAGCAGCCATTCTCTCAGCCAGCAAAAAGCAGATGATTCACAACAAAGTTTACGTGTCTGGCAGGGCAGGTCCACCTCCTTCTTTAGCATCCGTCAATATCTTAAGTTTTACTCGAGGCTTCCTGCCCTGCCAAACAACTCCAAAAACATCCCTCTGCCACCTCCTGATACAATCCATCCCATCCAAAACTTGCACTATTTGAAACAAAAGCAACATCCCCGGCAACACAGCAACCCTCATCCCCACCACAACAGCTCGGCCCAACCATAACAACTTCAGATTTGTCCATATTTCCCAATCCCCCTTCTCTTCAATCCAACGTCCTTCACAGTTACCCTTAAGTAAATTCACATTTTTGGCGGTCCTACTGACCCCCAAAAATCTCTCTTTCTCAGCCGATGTTGATCCTGTCTCCTCCTGAAGCTCTGTCAAACTTTCCTTTCCCAGTTCTGGTGGGGTTACCTTTACCTGTTTATATGTGCATTAATGCACGTGGTTAGAGTATCAGACTAGGGCCTGAGAAACCAGGGTTCAAATTCCCACTCAGCCATGAAGCTCATCGGGGTCAGTCACGATCTCTCATAGGTGTTCTATCCATTTAACACTCAATCAGCGTTTTTTCTACCCCTGCCCCCCCCTTGCTTAGCATTGAGCCTGAATAAGTTCTATGGAACTCAAAAGCTTGCTTACGTTTTGGCTGGCCCAAGGGAAGCTATTTCCCTGCTAAAGATTTTGGAAAATATGTGGTAGACAACGGTGTATTGAGAGCCAAGCCTGAGAGAAGATGCAAAGTTTGGTTGGCCTAATTTTAATTAGAAAAATTAGGAAGAAGATAATAATGCAGGAGGGGAGATTTCTCTTGTGCTTGGGTCCTGCTTGCCAGTTTCTCAATGGCATCTGTTGGAGGGGGTTGGACGGGCATAATAACATTATTTGCATACCGAAAAAAGCATTTCAAAGAATTGCAGACTGAAAGAAAATGATCGCAGCAAATACCAACTGCATTTGCCTGCCTGATTTCTCCTTGAAGTGGCAACCTGCCTAGTGGTAGTGTTAGCCCTGTTTCTGGTCAGAACAGTTTTTTGTACTTATTCTCCTCCTCTTCCTCCATCATTAACCTTGGGCTACTGCTGCCTAGTTTGACCAAGACGGTGGATCTTATGTATACAAAGTTAAAAGTGATAGCTTGGTTTTAGAATTCATCAGGCTGCAGATGAGATGTTTGCTTAGATCCACGACAATGGCGGTCGCTCCCGGAATGGCAGAAGTAGAAGCACAGATTAAAATGGAATGTTTAATGTTGAGGAGGGAGTGATTACTTAGTGTAATTAACAGTAATGGGGCAGAATGAAACCGGGGAAAAGGGACGATTATAACTGATTGAAGCAGAAAGGAGGAGAAAGACTTAAAAAGGAAACTTCTCAGGCTTTGGAGAACAGGAGCAGGCCTCTCCACTTCCAGCCCTTAGTACCACAAGCAGACTTTATTTATAGAGTCATACCTCGGGTTACAGACGCTTCGGGTTGCGTGTTTTTGGGTTACTTCCGGGTTTCGCCGCTAGCGCATGCGCAGAAGCACTAAATTGCTCTTTGTGCATGTGCAGAAGCGCCAAATCGCAACCGGCACATGCGCAGACGCGACGCTGTGGGTTGTGAATGCTGTGGGTTGCAAACGTGCCTCCCTCACGGATCATGTTCACAACCCGAGCATCCACTATATATATATATATAGAGAGAGAGAGAGAGAGAGAGAGAGAGAGAGAGCGCGTAGTGGTTAGGGTGTTGGGTTAGGACTTGGTTGGGTTCAAATCCCAGCCATGGGTGCTTTAGGACCAGCCACTGTCTCTCAACCTACCTCACAGGGTTATTGTGAGGGTTAAATTGAGAGAGGGGTAGAGGTGTGTGTTGAACTCTTTGGGGGGGAAAGGAGGGATATAACTGCAACAACATATAAGATATAAATAAATAAGTTTGACAGATTGGAAAAGATGAGAAGCAACAGTGAAAGTTAGTAGGCCCATCAAACTGTGGAGGGCTGTGTGACATTGTATTTTAATATTAATGCTGTGTTTTCAATGTTGTAACCCACCCTGGGACCTTAGGGCAAAGGGCGGGTAATAAATTGTAATAATAATAATAA